GACTCCGACATCCTCGCCGCCATGGACGAGGCCGTCGCCGACGGCGTCGACGTCATCTCGCTCTCCGTCGGCGCCAACGGGTACGCCCCTCGCTTCTACACCGATTCCATCGCCATCGGCGCTTTCCACGCGGTGCGCAAGGGCATCGTCGTCTCCTGCTCCGCCGGCAACTCCGGCCCCGGCGAGTACACCGCCGTCAACATTGCGCCGTGGATATTGACCGTCGGCGCGTCCACCATCGACCGCGAGTTCCCCGCCGATGTGGTTCTTGGTGACGGCCGCGTCTTTGGCGGCGTGTCTCTGTACGCCGGTGACCCCCTGGACTCCACTCAGCTGCCGCTGGTGTTCGCCGGGGACTGTGGTTCCCGCCTGTGCCTGATAGGCGAGCTCGACCCGAAGAAGGTGGCCGGCAAGATCGTGCTCTGTCTGCGTGGTAACAACGCTCGCGTCGAGAAAGGAGCGGCGGTCAAGCTCGCCGGTGGGGTCGGAATGATCCTCGCCAACACCGAGGACAGCGGCGAGGAGCTAATCGCCGACTCCCACCTCGTGTCGGCGACTATGGTCGGGCAGAAGTTCGGCGACAAGATCAGGTACTACGTCCAGACGGACCCGTCGCCGACGGCGACCATCGTGTTCCGCGGCACGGTCATCGGCAAGTCGCCGTCCGCGCCGCAAGTGGCGGCGTTCTCGAGTCGAGGCCCCAACTACCGCGCGCCGGAGATCCTCAAGCCCGACGTCATCGCCCCCGGCGTCAACATACTCGCGGCGTGGACCGGCGTCGCCTCCCCCACCGACCTGGACATCGACACGAGGCGCGTCGAGTTCAATATCATCTCTGGGACGTCGATGTCCTGCCCGCACGTGAGCGGCCTCGCCGCGCTGCTCCGCCAGGCGCACCCGGAGTGGAGCCCCGCCGCGATCAAGTCGGCGCTCATGACCACGGCGTACAACCTGGACAACTCCGGGAAGACCATCAAGGACCTCGCGACGGGCGAGGAGTCGACGCCGTTCGTCCGTGGCGCCGGCCACGTCGACCCCAACGCCGCCCTCGACCCGGGCCTGGTGTACGACGCCGGCACCGACGACTACGTCGCCTTCCTCTGCACGCTCGGGTACTCTCCGTCGTTGATCTCCATCTTCACACAGGACGCGTCGGTCGCCCACTGCTCGAGGAAATTCGCTCGCCCCGGCGACCTCAACTACCCTGCCTTCGTCGCCGTCTTCTCCTCCTACCAAGGTTCAGTCACCTACCGCCGGGTGGTGCGCAACGTCGGCAGCAACTCCAGCGCGGTGTACCAGCCCAAGATCGTCAGCCCGTCCGGCGTGGATGTCACGGTGAGCCCGAGCAAGCTCGCGTTCGACGGGAAGCAGCAGAGCCTGGGCTACGAGATCACCATCGCGGTGTCAGGCAACCCGGTGATCGTGGACGCCAGCTACTCGTTCGGGTCCATCACCTGGAGCGACGGCGCGCACGACGTCACGAGCCCCATTGCCGTGACCTGGCCGTCCAACGGTGGAGCAGCTGCCATGTAGACTGCTGCTGTCGCTACTGGCTACTGCTGTGGGCAGAAGAACAGGGCTATCAGATCCGAGATCTCCACGCATCCGTCCTGCCTGCCATCGTTTACTCGACTGAACCACGGAATAATTTAGTTGCCCCTACCATGGTTGTGTGGACCAATGGACCATGCTTGCAGCTCTCTTTTCATTTAGGAGTAGGTTGGTTGGAGTAGTGTATGTGATTGGCTGTTTGCAACTTGCAAGGCAGCGAGGGTGCCATTATGGCTGATGGCCATTGATGAACATGTATAAACAAGTTTGTAATGACTGGAATGATCATTGTGCCATCTTTTTTTTTTATGCTGGCATGTTTATAGCTCGATGCTTTGTGTATGTCACTTGTGTACGCATACTAAGAGGCAAGCATGGCTATGGAACACCTGAGTGTTCCTAAGCCATTCAACATTTGATTCTTTTGGACCATCTGATGAAGCTTGAACAAGTCACTTTATCTTCAACCTCCGGAGGTCCTCTTAGCTCTTATTGGACAGCAAATAGCCAGTACATGGCGAAATCAGCTTATTTAACTCACTTCAATGGAAGCGTTGAGCACTACAAAAGAAACATCCTTTGGAAAGCTCGATCTGAAGAAAAGTGCAGATTCTTTGCTTGGACTGTGATCCAAAACAAAATTATAATGGCGAAAAACTTAGGCGTCACATCAAAATTTGTGTCATTGTGTGATCTCTGCAATGGACCTTTGAAGACAATCACCCACACCTTGCTTGCATGGCCCTTTCGCCTAGATGGTGTGACACCAAGTTCTCTCCTCACAACAATTCACTTTGAGCAACACATCACAACTAAATAACTTGAATTTCATTTACATTGTTGTCTTGTGCTTGAACTAGATTGTCTTTACAACAACACATCTTTTTGGCTTTTCATTTCAACACAATATGGAACACTTTCAAGTTTGCCTTTATGATTGAACCATTGATACACTTCAAATGATACAACATCTCATATTCCACATGTATGTAATATAATCATCTTCCAGTTCAGCACTTACCAAATTTGTTAGTCGTTTAACCGTGTTGTCGGTCAATCATCCAAAACCCACAAAAGGGCTAATGGACTTACAGGATGCAACTGGTGTGGCGATCCAAGCCGCGGGAAAACCTCCTTCCAATGTTCCTCACGCATGAACTTGCTTGCCTTGCCTTTCAGTGATATCACCCAATGCGGAAGAAGTTGGCAAGGAACAAACAGGAGTGAGCAAGGGGCCCTTTTCGGTGATACTGCCGAGAGAAGACCTATTGTTGTCTGCCGTTGTTTATCTGATCATCAAGGTCAAGGTGAGGATACAATGCTTGATTGTGCGATGTGCCATCAACATTTACTCAACCAAACCGCAGAATAATTCAACTGCCCCCTATCCTACCCGTGGGCCATGCTTACAGTCCCCTTTTTCATTTACTCCCTCCACTCGAAACTATAATTTGTTTTCTCTTCTCTAGGTGCATAACTTTTGTTATGCATCTTAGATATAGATTATGTCTAGATACGTAATAAAACTCTTTGAAACTATAATTTGTTTTCGTTTCTCTAGGTTCATAACTTTTGTTTTGCATCTTTGATATAGATTATGTCTAGATTACGTAATAAAACTTTTTATGTACCTAGAAAAGTTAAAATAGATTATAATTTGTAATAGAGAAAGTATTTATTATAGTGAAATACACTTGCGGCCCTTTAACTTGTCGGCCTGTGCCAGTTCGATCCACGAACTTGCAAATGTGGAAAATGGGCCCTGAACTTGTCAAATTGTTCACCGCAGGTCCATTTCCCATCCGACGCGGCCTCCAAGCGACGTGGCAGCGCCAGCGTGGCGGACGAAGCATGTGAGCCACACGTTTCAATGTAGGCCCCTCACGTCAGGGTCGCCCCCTACCTCCCAGTCCGCATGGGACAAACGCCGTCGCCGGCAGCGCTTGGACCACGCCTGGCCGCGCCCTTCTCCCGCGTCCCCTGCACGACCGAGCACCCCGCGCGGACCCTTTCTACGCACCGCAGCCCCTCGCCCCGAACCGCTCGTCCCGCAGCGCCGAGTCAAAGATCCGCCATTGTCGGCATGGAGCCGAGCTCCTTGACCGGCCTTTCCTCTCCTCCCGCAGTCTCTCTCTCCCTCTAAAATGGTGCCCAGAGTGTCGCATGAGCACTCCGCTTCTCCCCGGGCTCCCTCTCTCGCTCTACAGGCACCGCCGCCTCATCCCGAGCTAGCAGCGCCGCCGCCGCCGTCGATCTCCTCCTCTGCCGCTTTCCACGCGAGCTTTGTCGACGAGCTTCGGGGCGTGCTAAGGCACCCTCCAGTGCTCCCGCGTTCTTCCTCTTCCTCTCCCTCTCTGCGCGTTACTCTGGCTCGCCGGAGCTGTGCCGCCGTGGCCGAGCCGCCTCGCCGCACGTACCGCCGCCTCCAGACGTCCTCCGCCGCAGGGAATGTCCTAGGCGAGTTCGCCTCGTCGCGCTCTCCACCCCCGTGTAACCCGCACAGGCACTAGCACTCCACAGCGCCACCCCGCCGAGCTCGCCGTTGCGGCCATGGGCGGCGCCGCGTCTCGTGCCTCCCGGTCCACCAAACAGTGTGGACGCAGCGCCACCCCGCCGCGTTTGGTATTGAAACGTGTGGCTCACGTGCTTCGTCCGCCACGCTGGCGCTGCCACGTCGTCTGGAGGCCGCACTGGATGGGAAATGGACCTGCGGTGAACAACTTGACAAGTTCAAGGGCCCATTTTTCACGTTTGCAAGTTCGTGGACCTGACTGACACAGGCCGACAAGTTAAAGGGCCGCCAGTCTATTTCACTCTATTTATTATAAGTTGTGTGTGCTCTTGTAACTTGCAAGGCTGCGAGCACCATTATATGGCGATGGCGATTGGACATGTATACGAACAAGTTTGTAATCACTGAAATGATCATTGTAACATTTTTTTATGCTGGTATGTTTATGAGCTGCACATTCTCTATGCGTTATGAATCTAAATTGTGTATGTTATGCCTTATAATAGTGTTGTAGTATTTCATTTTATTTTTTTCATATTTTTTAGGCTGAAAGCCCTGCTGCTCACATGATTAAATAAATAAGCAAGAAGATTTCAGTTTGGTGTTGGTACACAACATGTACTCCGTATATTGGTCATATTCAGATTCATCTTTGTTCTTCTCATAGAAACAGGTCTCCAGTTTCAGATCAATGCATGGATTGATAACACCAAAGTCTAGTGGCTGAAACATTTGATTACGAGTTACTTATTAGGATCCATCCTTAAATAAAGCATAAAACAAAGAAAATAAAAGTGCAGGTGTGGAAGCCATCTAAAATGCTCAGATAATATTTGATTTTCCTTTTTGAAAACTATGGCCGGATAATAACCACGTTCGACTATGATAATGAACCCCAGGGCCCAGGCCCCCCAGCAGGCCAGCACTGAGCATGACATCACAAATCGAATTGAACAATGAACGCTACTAGAACAGTAATGTCGTCCGGCTTCCCCTTGCGCAATCGCCTTGAGCGTGTTTGTTTTGACCTCTCGTAAGCGACGCCGGCGATGATGTCCGCCATGTTCTTGGGCGAGAAGCCCAACTTGGTGCCCATCTGCACGGCGAGCTCCAGCTGCTCCTCGAGAATGTTGTCGAACAGCCCGTCCGTGCCGACCACCACGACGTCCCCGGTCCTCACCGCGAACTGCCCCGACTTGGCATCCGAGACCCTGTCGCTGTTTACGGCCTTGGCGCTGAGCTGAAACGTGGGGTCCCTAGAGGAGAAGAGATGCTGTTTCCGCCGGGCCTCGGTGGAGGCGAAGCGAAGCTTCGCTCGCGTGGTGCGGGACAGGTGCCGCTGCGGCGTCGACAGGAACACGATCTTGCTGTCCCGGAGCACGACAAAGGCACTGTCACCGATGTACGCCCAGTCCAGAGCGTTGCCGGCGAGCGACAGGATCACCGCCGTCGACGCTCCCGTTGCACCCGACGCGGCCGTCTCGTCGTAGGCCCGCTGCAGCAGCGCGGAGGGGCAGACGTGCGCTCCGGGCTCCTGCCCCGCGACCTCCACGGAGGCGCTCGTCATGAGACCGCGGGAGAAGGCGCCAGCGTCCACGCCGTAATCCGCGTACGCGCCGACGCCGTCCGCCACGCCGAGAACGCCGGCCTTGGCGTTCCCAAAGTGCGCGTCGTGGTCGTGCAATGGCACGTAGCATGACGCCCAGTCGATCGTCGGCGCCAACGACGTCGCGGCGTCGGGCTCCGTCGGGCCGCTGTCATCGGCATCCAGACCGGCTCCGTCCTCCGTCGTCGGCGGCGGCTGCAACAGCGAGGCGGCGAAGTCGGCGACATCGTCGTCCTCGCCGGGAGCTGGCGTGGGGGACACTCGATAGCCGAGACCCAACGCGACGCGGAGTGCGTCAGGGACGCGGGCGTCAATGTCTTCGAGGGTTTGACGGATCTGCTGTAACTTCTCCATCGTCGTTGCCATGGTCCGTCGCCTTGGTAGTCTGATCTGGTTTGATTGACAGCCACGTTTCCGTGATTTACTCGTGTATATATACTGGATCGTCTTCGTCTCCATCTCCGTATTCGTGTTGTAGACCAGTACTTAGAATCTCGACAACTTAAAAAACTAAATAGTGGATATTTTTTATGCGACAATTGCTTCGGGTGTCGCTCTGCCCCGCCCCTGCGATCCTGTCCGCGCCCCCGCACGGACGCACCGCACCTCGGGCAGCCGGGGTTCGATTCCCATGCCCTATTTTCTTTTCTTCCGAAAAAAACATCGGGCTACCTGCCAACCGCATCTCCGCCCGTGGGGGAGGACACGGCCGCTGCCGCCCTGCGCGGCCTCACGCAGGAGGAGCTCGCGACGGCGGTGTGGCCATGGAGGATGAGGAGCCCGTAGACTCGGTCTGCCTGCGTGCAATCCGCTCGTCGCTCACTCACCCACCCATTCACGCGCGGCGCTCCCTCGCTCGCCCACCCGGCCCTTCCCTGTGAGATCTCGCCCCCAATCACGCTCCCTCGTGCCGCTTGCCGTGCGTGTCCGGGCGCCTCATTCCGCGCTCGCCCACGCCGCCGCGCCCGCGCGTCCCCCGTTTCCATCGCGACCACGCGCTCGCAGCCGCAATCGACTCGACCCGACCGAGCTCCCCGTCCCAACAAACCCTCACAAATCCCAGTTCCCCATCGCCGCCGCCGTACACCGGAGCTCGAGCTCGCCGCGTGGGGAACGTATGTTTCTACTTCGTTGAAGAGTACAAGCGGCCTCCCAGAGTTCTGCCTCAACTGCGCAAGGGAAGGGAGGCTCCCAATGCATCCCCGCCATGCTCAATGCCGCCGGTCCCTTCCTATACCGGACAAACCCTCTAGCCGCCACCCGCTGTCCTTCTCTCTCTAGGTCCAGTGGGGGTTGCTATCTTCCAAGTGAGAGTTGTTCCTTCACGTGCTAGCGATTCTGGCTTCCCTGCATGATGGGTCACTGCTCGGCTATGTGTTCGAGGCTGGATGCTAGTGGTTTTCATCTGATGCGATGCCTCTGAGTTGAATCGGGTGGAGTCGAGTTGAGGTGCCCTGCTTTTCCTTTTATAGGTCAAGGGAAAGCATGGGTTACAACGGGAGAAAAGAGGAGAACGAGAGGGATAGGGAGTCCTTCAGGGTCGCCGGGCCTTTCTTTTCCTTTATGCGGGTCCCGCTGACACGGCAGGTGGTGACAGGGACATCTCCACGTCAAGCGCATGTCCGTCGATGATGCCATGCCCTGGCGTTGTCAGCGGGTCGTGACGTCCCATTCCACCCTGGCGGGCGGCGCGGCGAACCAGCGTGCTGATCAGCGGCCGTACAGGGAGTAGGCAGCATAGTGACCACGCGTCCGTCACTGTGGGCGATGTGAGTTCCCTGGAATGACATGTCGCGTGGACAGGTCGTGTTGAGACGTGACCACTCCCTGCACGATGCCAGAAGTTTGACCTTAGGTTGTACTTTCTGGCCCGTAGTGGTTGGTGGCCGCGTGAGCTTCCGTTAGGAGCCGTGCCCGAGGGGTCGGGCGAGGCAGAGCCCGCCCTCAGACGTCGGGCGAGGCGGAGCCCGTCCTCAGACGTCGGGTGAGGCGGAGCCTGCCCTCAGACATCGAGCGAGGCCGAGCCCGCCCTCGGGGGTCGAGCGAGGCGGAGCCCACCCTTAGGGGTCGGGCGAGGCGAAGCCTGCAGCCTTAGTGTCGGGCGAGGTAGAACCCATCCCTAGAGGTCGAGCGACGCGGATCGCACGACCTTAGGGTTGGATGAGGCAGAGCCCGCCCTTAGAGGTCGGGCGAGGCGTAGCCCACCCCCAGAGGTCGGGCGAGGCGGATCGCACGACCTTGGGGTTGGGCGAGGCGGAGCCCATGGCCAGAGGTCGGACGAGGCGGAGCCCACGGCCTCGGTGTCGGTTGGAGTTGTAGTCGCACCTTTGACTGCCTGGATGGATTAACGTATAACAACCATTAGCTCCTCCTCTTCGGCTACCCTAGTATTGGTCCTCGACACTGATTGTTGAGCTTTCTTTCTCTGATATGCTTTTAAGCGGCTGATGTTCTTCTATTTATCTAGGACACCTCAAGATATGTACTAATTCATTAACTGTAATTTAAATGTCCAAAAGTTAGTTAATAGGCAAATGTATATGTATCATGTTAACGTAGGTAACATCCATAGGTCAAAATAGAACCCATGCTTCAAAATTCTGAGCAGCTATTTATCTGATCCAAACTAAATAGTACAAAGATCAAATATAAAATAAAAGGTTTTGGTATACCCCACTTGAGTTTGCCAATTACAGTTCCCTGTAACGTTGTTTAGGAAATGTCTGTGCGTTGCATTAGGAAGTGGTACATTTCATTGATCCATCTCACCATTTGAATAGTAAGTGGAGTATTGCTTCCAATTGCCTAATATGTGTTGGATTTCTTGTTGCAGTGCTCGGATGCTGGTGAACCTGCAGGTGTCCTGGGTCATTTTGGGAACATTTTGAGCCCAGAGTTCTGTTGGTTGAATCCCCTGACGTGAGTACCTTTAAAGTTGCTATTAATTTATCTTAGCTGACCTAGTCTGATTAATCTTCTCTTTGGTGACAACGACTGGGAAGGCATGGAGAGCACCGAGGATGGTGGCCGCCTCCTCCACCTTCGTCGCGGCCTGGGGTTTAGTTCAGCGCCGCCTCCGCCTTTGTTGAGGAGACGCAGTTGCCCCTCTACAGCCTCTACAAGATCGCCACCGAGGGGCCCTGCAACGCGCCGTAGCCATCCACGCTCAAGCTCAAGGCCCATGCCAAATGGTAGATTCCAGCCCATCCCCTCTTTCTCATTCTAGATACTGCTAGATTCTGTTAACTATTGGGCCTTTAGAATTCGATTTACTCTGAATGATACTGATGAGGTACTTATCCTATCTATCCGTTGTCTGGTACAGTTTGGCAACAAATGCAGAGGGCGCTGGATAGTTGATTGTTAGGAAAGCCAGTAGAAGCAGAGTCACCTGATTGAGGGATAGGAGGTGCAGCTGGCACTGTGAACAGCGTGCGTCCAGCCTTGTGATGGCGTTGGGAGACTAGAGCTGAACTGTCATCGAGAGCAGGTGTCTTGGTAGGTTCAAAAGGTTGCTTTGTGATGTTAGAAATGACTTTGAGGTGGTGACAGTCATCACTATTGTTACTGACCAATAATGAAAAGCTTGAGATTTTATGCCTCTTGCAACGCGCATGCACTGTGACATGAGGAACATTGCATTCAGGAAACCAAACGATACACATGAACTGGGGATGCAAATCGGGAAAGACCTAGGGTAACCCAATAAACAACACCCCAAGTGGCACACGACACACAAAGACATTAGCACAAGTTGAAGGCCGAGCATTATCTATAATTGTTTTTGTTTGTATGTTTGCAGTACTATTTAAGCTGCTGGAACATTACTGAGGTTAGGTTTTCTGATAACTACAGGATCCAGCAACCAATCTTCCTTTGTGGCATGTGCGAGAGGAGCCACCTTTATTACTGTAAGCATCATGCCTTTGATGATAAATATGCAGCCTATGCTTTATATGAGAATAATCAAGTTAATACACCCTCATATTCTATATTCTGTGAGCTACTGCACTGACAACATGAAAATTAGGAAATGAAATATTTGTGATGGATTGATGGTAACTAATTATACAATGGTAAGCAACCCTTTATTAGTCTATACTAGATACTAGATAAATGATTATCAGTTATATTTTTCCAGGTTGGTTTCAGCAAAGAAATTGTTGAGTGCCCAAGTGAGCTCGGGTGGCCCCCACAGGTTAGATGTTTATATTTCTTCTTCATGTACCTAATTCCACTAATACTTTACAAAACATCATGGTAGGATATTGGCCGTTCAATGCTCATGCTTGTGGCTTTTGGTTTCTTCCTATAGCCTGCCAATTTTCTTGTGACAAATGCATGGGGTTGTCTAGAAATATCAGTACTTATTTTTAGGGTGTGTTGTATGCAAACCATTCTTCCCTGGACACTTCCTCATAAGCAATGCTTATTTGTCAAGATCTATATTTGTAGGATTAAGTTCCATTGGTAGGTGTGTTTCTCATCCTTTTGGTCTTAGGCCATTTAGTTTAGAAGACTTTAATGGGTATCCTATAGAAAATATTAAGTACGTGGTTGTTGAGATTCATTAAAGATTTTCATAAATACATAATGCACTCTCATAGCTATTTAAGGTTTGGGACTTTTGCAATGTATAAGTTGGGTCTATACTTGCAGATCTAATTTTCTGTTGAAATTCAGAGGATATTTAGGGGACCTTAATCTTTGAACCAGAAAATAATCTTATAATTAAAGTTTTAGCTTTACTACATAGTATTTATATTTGAGACCCTGCAATGAAAGCTCTTAATCATGAACAATTTATTTACTTAAAATGTGAAAAGCTCTCTGTACTCTTTTGTAATATGTAAATCAATTCTAACCTATTGGTGGTTTTTTGCTGCCTGAACCTCCTGATTCATAATGCTGCCAAACATATATATTTATTGAATCTTGAGCTAAGCACTTCTCTTTCTTATTAATTATGTGTCTTATAAGGGATCTGTTGACAAATGTTTTCTTTTAGATAGTGGCATGTCATTGCTTGGAAAATTACACTTGATTTGTGGCAACCTATTCAATCAAAATATTACATTTCATTTTATGCTTCTTCTAAGACTGAAATTAAGTGAATCTATTTTACTGCCTGAAGATACTACTAAACTTCTCCTATGGCTTTGATATGGTTCCTATTGTAGTGTTAGGTGCATAATAGTGGATATGATTTTCAGCCCTCACCGTGCATTTTTCTTGCGAGTGGTTGACAATAAATCCTTTTTTGTGTGGCAGGATGAGATGGAGACCTTCACCACCCTCAAGTGTCAACAAGATGAAGGAAGCTAAGACATCATAGTATAGTTGTGAACTATATA